TAGGGTCTTAGGGTTCGGGTTTAGGGTTTAGGGCTTAGGGTCTAGGGTTTGTGGGCACCTACAAGTAGGGTTACAGTTATGGTAACGGTACATATCACCCTATTTAATCCGAGCACCTGTTTAACTAATACCCCCACATTTAAAGAAATTTCTTTCGCCGAGAAGCCCGCCGGAAGACTACTTTCCATTACGGGGGATCTCGTACGGGGAAATACCACCACATTTAAAGAACAAATGGGGGGGTTCAAAAGATTCTCGGGTTCAAGAGATTCTCGGGCTCCCTTTTTTTGGCTTAAAAGTAAAAGCTTTAAAGAAGCCGAAGCTTTACTTTCCCAGAATCTAGGGCCCTTCAGAAAGCTAGGATTTCTTGTGTGATTGCTTACTGGAGGAGAGAAGTTCTCATTCTTTCCTGAGCTACCCTTATGGGCACTGCCTAGCAAAGACAGCATCACATTTATAAAAAAGGGACCACAATTATGGGAGGCCTTGGAGGGGGGGGGGGGGAGCCCTGGGCTTGCGCTATTCAGTTTGAATAGAGATCCAATACATTCCTATTGTTTCTCATAGAGAGTCAATACTTTGTTATTCAGTTTTAGTAGAGATTCTATATCAATACATTCTGATTGTTTTTTATAGAGAGAATCATACAGGGCCATGGTCATACTCTTGCGGAACCCTGCCTTTCTTTTTGCAATTCAACAGGTGCTCGGATTAGGGCACTTGTAAACTTACATATCAGCTACCCATGAACCTCCAAGTACGCCCCTGAAACCCTAAACCCGAAACCCGAAACCCTAAACCCTAAACCCTAAACCCTTCGGAGAACGAGTCTCCTGCTCCGTGAGTCCTTCCTGCGTGGGGCCAGGCGCGCCGCCTGCCTCTGGGGCTTGAGGGTGTTTAGGGTGTTTAGGGCTTGGGGCTTTAGGGTTTAGGGTTTAGGGTTTAGGGTTCTAGGGTTTTAGGATTTAGGGTTTTAGGGCTGTAGGGTTTAGGGTTTTTAGGGCTTAAGGTTTAGGGCTTGGGGTTTTAGGGTTCTAGGGTTTTAGGGGTTCGGGTTTAGGGGGTTTTGGGGTTGTTGGGGCTTTAGGGCTTTAGGGTTTAGAGTTTTTAGGGTTTAAGGTTTCGGGTTGTAGGGCTTTAGGGTTGAGGGTTTAGGGTTGTTGGGTTTCTACTGTTTCTAGGGTTTAGGGTTTTACGGTTTTACGGTTCAGGTTCTAGGGTTCGGGGCTCAGAGTCTTACAGTCTGAAGTTCGAGGTTCTGATTCTGGTTCCGGTCTTGCATGAACAGGCGTTGACGCACTCAGCACCGTTGTCATGCCCTCTCTAGACCACACAGAGTTTCTCCAGAATCGCGGCTTCCTCTGAAGGGGAAGGGGGGGAGCCTTGGAAGGGGGAGGGGAGGGGAGGGAGGACAAATTGTGTATTCACAACAATCTAAGCCACAAGACTAAGACCAATACCGACAATACTTTGGCTTATTCAGAATGTGTTCACCTCTGTTCTTTCCCTCGCTCCTTGCACTAGTTTCCTTGATAATTAGCTCTACCAACGCGGTCCCGAAGACGCACAAGACAACCAGATTTTTGAAGGAGTCTTACCTAGAACTTAAGCTGGATCTCCTCCTTCTTGGGGTTCTGACTTCTAAGGCTTCTGACTTGCTATTCTAGAATATAGAAATACGCTACCGACAAAAAGGAACTAATATGGGGGCCTGAACCAGAATTGTGTTTTGGGGGTCACTATAGTAAACTTGTGAAGGGATCATAAGGGGATACTAGAATACTTATTCCGACAACTATATTACAAATTCAGGCTCCGGGTGGTGAAAGGAACGCCCACATGTGATGGGCCCACTGGGAGGTGCTGGTGAAATAGCAGTTTCAGGGCTTTATAAGGTTCAGGGTTTAGGGTTTAGGGTCACAGAGACCGTACCCAAGCTAATTGACGGCGGAAGTTCGTTAACTTTGGATATGAAGGCAGCAACAATTCCAAATACAACTCGTTGTGATTAAATCGCCAGAAGACTGTTGGGGGCAGCATAGCGGAGAGTAGGCAGTATTAACACAGTTTGGAATTCAAACCCCGAACGACCCTGCATTTCGCGGCGGAAGTTCCCAAAACCACTAAAGTTTCTCAGACAGCCCCTAAGACCAAAACCCTAAACTCTGAGCCTCGTCGTTCTCGGACATCTGCAAAGGGATCGTGTTGAAATTTGCAGGACCTGAGTGGGGCTGAACTCAGCAACTTTCTGCTGATTGGGGTTTAGCAGCAATAGAGGGGGTTAGGGTTTTCAGGGTTAGGGCGTAGGCATTGGATTCACGCCTTCATAGATGGCAGGCATTCACGATGCTAGACATTGCTAGATCTTAAACCACATTGACCCCTCGCTGAGGGGGTTCTTTGCAAACCAGAGTGCCAATGTGGTCCCAGAAACATGCCCTAAACCCTAAACCCTAAACCCTAAACCCTAAACCCTAAACCCTAAACCCTGAACCCTAGAAACCCTAAAACCGTCCCATGAACATGCTTGGACTGCGTGTCAAAGCATTGTTGCCCAAACTGCCAGAAACCTTCCCCGCTCAGTCGGAAGCCCAGCCCTGAAACCTGAACCCAAATTCAACCCTAACCCCTCCCCCGCCAAAAAAAAAGAAAACCCTAACCCTAAACCCTGAACCCTGAACCCTAAACCCTAATCCTAAACCCTAAGCCCTAAACCCCAAACGCCCTCTAAGTAGGCCCCAGACTAGTCGGAGGTGGGTCGCCCTCCTGGTCCGCGATGCAGAAGATCTCTGGAGCCCTGCGGTGGTTTCACACTTCTCCCCTTCACCCACTAAGTGCGGAGCAATTGGGTCTAGGGCTTGTAGGGCTTGTAGGGCTTGTAGGGCTTGTAGGGTTTGTAGGGTTTGTAGGGTTTGTAGGGTTTGTAGGGTTTGTAGGGTTTGTAGGGTTTGTAGGGTTTGTAGGGTTTGTAGGGTTTGTAGGGTTTGTAGGGTTTGTAGGGTTTGTAGGGTTTGTAGGTTTTGTAGGGTTTGTAGGGTTTGTAGGGTTTGTAGGGTTTGTAGGGTTTGTAGGGTTTGTAGGGTTTGTAGGGTTTGTAGGGTTTGTAGGGTTGAGGGTTTATGCGATGGCGTTGCATTGATTACTTCGCGGGGGGGGCTGAGAGGATCATATTGGTACTGTTTCAGGCCCCTGTACTAAAAAGAGATCTCCTAGTAACGGTGCTCAATGATGCTGCCTCCAAGCATCAAGCCCTAAACCCCAAACCCTGAACCCTGAACCCCAAACCCTCACCCGTGGTGCCTGGTTCCGCTGTTCTCTGGCGAGCCCTGCAGGCGCAGCAGTGCTGATCATGGGGTGGGTCAAGAGCGGGGTCCATTGGGTGAAGGGGGGGGGGGGGGGGCCACACTAATCAGCAGACAACATTACTGGCAACCCATCTGCCATCTGGGGGTTGAGGGCTTAGGGTTTAGGGCCTTAGGGTCACAGAAGTCCCTGTGCAATTAGTGCGTCGAGGCTGCGGCCACTGGGGCCATGCCAGCTGTCTCCAGGCGGAAGATCCCATCCCTACCTGGCCGCAGAGAGGGTTTAGGGTTTAGGGGTTTGGGTTTAGGGTTTAGGGTTTAGGGTTTAGGTTTAGGGCTTAGGGTTGCAGAAAGGATTTTTGAATGGCCGACCGGCTCGTCAAAAGAATTCGGGGATTAGGTGCAAAACATGTTATCCCTCTGTAGACCCGCTTTATGGGATGATATGATCATCCCATATAGCGGGTGTTATGGAGGGAAATGTGTATAAGATACCTTGCTTCCGAATTGCCATCTTAGTTGTCCAGTAACCTGGGGGAACTAAAGGTTAACACCTTTGGGATTATAAGGGGATTATATTACCCCCTAAGAAGGTTAACCTTAAAGGTTACCTACTCTACAACTAGGCCATGAAAGAGCCAGTAAAAGCGGCATTCGTTCCCGGAGTTGCTGGCTTTGGGGTCTTGGGCCAGGCCTGGGGTGGAGGAAAGTGTGGAAACCAGATACCCTAAACCCTAAACCCTAAACCCTAAACCCTAAACCCTAAACCCTAAACACTCCTCTGAGGGCCCATGCAGCTCTCTGGAATATACTTGGGACAATTCAGCGCCAGTGCTTCCATTAGGGCCCCAGGTGTACAAGGCGGGCTTCCCTAAACCCTAAACCCTAAACCCTAAACCCTAAACCCTAATTCTTGTTCGCTTCGCTTTCTCCGGCGCTTGCGCCGCAAGCTAATTCCCTCGTGCAGCTTAGGGGGCCTCCAGGGTTAATTACAGCTCTAGGCTTGAACGGTTTAGGGTTTAGGGTTTAGGGTTTAGGGTTTAGGGTTTAGGGTTTAGGGTTTTAGGGCTCAGGGAACCTAGCCCCCAGAAGCGCCCACTCAAGATAGGAGGCGTTTACATGGGTCCAAGCCCTTCGCTTGCCTTCGGCTGGGTGGGCTTTTCAGGTTTTAGCCTTTGGGGCTTGGGGGGTTTCGGGTTTAGGGTTTAGTTTAGGGTCTTGGGTTTCGGGTTTGCGGGTCGGGTTTAGGGTTTAACCATTAGAGCTTGGGGGGGCTTTTGGGGGGGCCTTCGGATGTTGGGGCTTTAGGGTTTGAGGGCTGTGGGGTTGCAGGGTTTCCACTGCCAAGGCATGCTCGACCTAGCGATGGCAAGCGGAGGACCCGTGCTGTTTTCGCACGATTGTGAAACAGGGTGCCGACACAACTTTCAGTGCGCACCATGCTACTGGAGGCTGCTGTACACATTTGCTTGGGGAAAATCCTGCTTGTCCAAGCTTTGCCGAAATATCAGAATACATGGGAGGAGCCGCAAAGCAATTGATACCAATGCAAGGGCATCTTTGGACACAACTTCGCTTTGATGCCTAGTTTGCGCAATTCAGGAAGACCCCGATCTCTGTACCATTGACCTGAGTGCTAAGTCCGTAGACCCCCAAACCCCAAATCCCCATAATGCTGTATCTCAAACCTGGTTCAGCTCAAAGAAACTGATTCGGTGGCGTGTCAAGCGAGCGCAGGGAGGTCGACGGCGAGCCTTGGAGATGTTGTGGCATGTGTATATATGTATGATAAATAAATAAATAAATAAAGATATATATATATATATATGCATATCTGAATGTGTACATATATGTATATGTACATCTATGTACATACACATATATGTATGTGTACATATAGATACACACATGTATGTATATATACATGTGTATATATATATATATGTACACACTTTTTGCCTGAGGGCAGGCTGCATGCACAGGGATTTGGGGGGCGGGGGAGCACGGGGTGCAGTGTAGCGCCCAGCTCCAGAAAGAAGTTACCCCAACATGACCTCGCCAAGCCCTGAGCGACTTAAGTGCACAAGACATCCAAGAGTGGGTGTACAAAACACACGTGCACCCAAACCCTAAACCCTAAAGCCCAAACCCTGAACCCTTAACCCTTAACCCTAGAGGTAGCCAAAGGAGGGCGTGCCAGCCCCCGCTCAGCCCAACCCTACTTTGGAGTAGGCCCTGGAAAAAAGTGCATACTTTTCAGGCATATGTAGGTGCGATAGGAACCCAGAACCAGAAAAGTATTAAAGTATAGTACTCCAAAACCCACTTAAGGAATGCACCCCAAGGGTTTTTGGGTTTAGGGTTTTGGGGGTTGATCCTTCATCATTAAGTCGCATCAGGATCCCTACTGCAATCTAAGGTGTGTTCCTTAGTTAAGGAGCAGTGGGCGCTCAGGATACGAGTAGCACCTGCCGCTACCCGGAAACTTCAGCAAATACATGTCGAAATGCAGGCACGATCAGCAAGTCGTGCTACGTACAACCCTGAACAACCTCTGCATTCATTTCCACAAGGGCGCCACGGATAAACAAATGCATGTGCTACGAAATGTAAAGGAATGTGGAGAAGTGGGAATGTGCAGGAAAGGTTTAAGGCGGCTGCGTGCCGACCAAGTGGCGTATCCGCTCCCAGACCATAGACTGCGGCGAGTTTTCCTCAGTTCTGAACCCTATCCTACCGGGCTTTAGGTACCGACCTAGTCCAAGACTCACATGTGCTGTCGTTCGGTCTTTGTGGCTTAGGGTTCAGGATTTTCAACAACCTTAGCAGGTGTCATGGTCAGATCCCGGAATAGTTCGACCCTTCCGACTCCAGATCATGTAGCCCTATAACTCGACAATCCATCCGCGCCCCTGCTTGTTCCCTTTTAAAGGTACTTCCCCGCCCCTGTTTGTTCCCTTTTAAAGGTACTTGGGCTTCAAAGGAGGTACTGAAAAGTAAATTCACAGCCCGAGCATAAACTAACAAAAAAATATCTATATACACATACATATATATATAGGTGCAAGGGTAGTTCTTTAACGCGGGTCCTTGTTGAGTCCTTTCAAGAACTGAAAGCCCTCTGACAAACAGTAGTAAATAGAGCTCTCTTAAACCCAACAAGGGAACATATGAAATCTCCCAAGGGCCTACCGATATTTATTACACATATATATATATATATGTATATAGGACCCCAGAAAAGGGACCCCAATTCCAAATTCCGAGGACTACCCACATGGAACTTTAGGTGACTTGCATCCGGCTGGCGGGCGGTGACCGATCCGCACCATTCGAGAATTGGTTCGCGCCGCTGTGGAGGCCTTCCCCAGGCAGACATCCGCAAGGGTTTAGGGTTTTCGGGTTTTAGGGTTTAAGGTTTTGGGGTTTAGGGTTGAAAGCCAGGCCCTAAAACGTTGAACCCATGGAATCCTACAAAACGGGACCCTGAGGGGGAGCGCACTTGTTGGGTGCCTTTCCGAGAAAAAACTGCCAGCAATGCCATTGAGTTTCGGAATCTCAAGCCCCACTGCGCAAATCAAAAACCCTAAAACCCTGAAACCTTGAAGCCACCCTAAACCCTGAACCCTCAACCCTTAGCCTAAACCCTAAAGCTCAGAGACCCCGAAACCCCAAAAACCCCAAACCCGCAAACCCCACACTGTGCCTGGACTGGAAGCCGCCAGCTTCCCAGAACCCGACTCCCTGAAGCTCTAAACCCATACGTACCCCCTTAGAACCCAACCTCAAAACCCTAAACCCTAAACCCTAAACCCTAAACCCTAAACCCTAAACCCTAAACCCTAAACCGAACCAAACCCTAAACCACTATATACCAGAAGCCCATGAAGTACTCTGGGTCCGAGCAATTGGCTTCTTGTGATCGCTCACTCGGGGAGACCTAGCTCTACGCAGTGTGGCCGCCAAGACTTCATTCTACACAAACTTAGGGTTTAGGGTTTAGGGTTTAGGGTTTAGGGTTTAGGGTTTAGGGTTTAGGGTCTAGGGCTGCCCTGGCATACTTGGTGGCCATCTTCTATTAAGGGCATCCCTTTGTGGGGTTGGATACTTTAGAAAGGGGACCTTGAACCAGAATACAAAGGACAAAAAGGGCACGACTGGGCTGCATGGGAGTGGATGAATCGCTTGTGGGCTGACTGCAGACCCAGGGTAGCTTACGTACATCTGGGGTCGTTGCTGTGCGTTAGTGTGTCTGCGTCAGTGTGTCATGGAAGCACCAACTTCGCCAGCAAGGAAGAAGAACCCTGTGGCCGCCACGGTCCCCAACGTCATCAGGTGCGTGAAAGGATGTTGAGGCCCAAAGACTCACAACAGGAGCCAAGGGGCGCCAAAGCGCTTCAAGCTTGAAGCCCCCTCAAACCCCAAAACCTAAACCGAACACCCTAAACCCTAAACCCCAAACTTGGGACCCAGACTTGCAACGGGTTACATTTGCGTCTGCCCTAGAAACCCTTTTCGGCCTTGTAAGCCCCAGGGCCACTCTAAACCCTCAAGCCCCCTTGCTTATACCACGCAAGCCCTAAAGCCCTATAAGCCCTGATAAGCCCTCTAAGGCCTAAGGCCTTGAAACACCGAAAAACCAATGAAAACCCTCAAACCCAATATAAAACCCGACAAAAAACCTACAAAGTCCCATCATACATGTCGCCACATAGAACCCCACAGAGCCCCATAACAAACCCCCCAAAAAAGCCCTCTCAACCCTCTCAACCCTCTCAACCGTCTCAAACCTCTCAACCCTCTCAACCCCCTAAACGCTAAACCATAAACCCTAAACCCTCAACCCTAAACCCTAAAAGCTACCGCGCCTCGGGCCAGCTTCAGCTGCGCGCGCTGGAGTCGGAGGCCGGCAGCCGACTCCAGGGTACCGCTGGCCCGGCGCAACGTCTTCGCGGCCTAAGGAGGTGAGCCAACCCTAAAATGGGGTGTAGGGCTTAGGGCTAAGGGCTTCGGGTTCAGGGTTTAGAGTTTCGGGTTTAGGGTCATGTACCCCATACCGGATCATGAACTCTTTTAAGGTTCACCATAAGAAAAGCGGGCCCCCCTTAGGGCATTCTTAGCTCTTTAGGATTTCGGGTGTGAAGGTGTAGGGTCTAGGGTGTGGGGTTTAGGGTTTTTGGAAGCGGCAAGAAACTGTGTGTTGCTGCAACCGACAGTAGCAGAGTCGACCTGAACTAGGTAGCCTCGTTTTTAGGGGTTTAGGGTTTAGGGTTTAGGGTTTAGGGTTTAGGGTTTAGGGTTTAGGGTTTAGGGTTTAGGGTTTAGGGTTTAGTTGCTCACATTGCCTCATTTCCCACTCACGTTGCCAAACCCTAAACCCTAAACCCCAAACCCTGAATCAAAGTATTCACTCCAGCACCACTCAATCTGGAAATTTCGTTCGAACTGTTAACGCTTCACCCCCCCATATATACGCCCATGCACAGACCAACATTTTATCACTTCAAAGTCTGGATGTATCAGTCCATTGCAGCTTTGATCGGGGACCCTCTTCTAGAGACTGAAAAAACTTGACCCTCTTCTAGAGACTGAAAAAACTTGAACAATTCCAAAAACCTCAAATCCCTAAACCCCTACAACTCTGAACCGCTAAATTCCTAAACCCTAAACCCTCGTAAAAACCCTCCACATCACGGCAATGGTCTTCATAGGCTTCGTATGCCCGCTCGAAGTCGCTGAGCCTGGGTTCAGGACTTCTAAAACCCCAATCCCGAAACCCTAATAGGGTTCAGGGTTTAGGGTGTATGGTTTCGGGTTTGAGATTTTGGGTTTAGGGTTTAAAGTTGAGGGCTCAGGCTAACCCCACACCCTAAACAGGGTGCACAATCACGGTGGAACGTAGGGGTGAGGGTCAAAAAAGTGGGTATACCAGGGTGCATGGGTGTATGTAGGATTTACCTCAAGTTGCTTACAAGCCCTTAGAACATGCCCTAACCTAGTCTTCATGGTTGGGATAGTACTAATGTAAATCTCTATTCCTTATTGACTTTAAGTACCCTTGAACATGTAAAATGTTGCCCCACGATGACGAAGGAACAAGTATTGGGTGCTGGTTCATCAGGTAAGGTTCTTCGAATTTCGGACTTTTCGGCCTGTGGAGGTTCTGGTGCTTTCGGGTTCGAGCTGGCAGAAATTCCAGGCGAGGTCCATGGCTGGAACTGCGTCAGGTTTGGGGGCAAAAAGGTTTTGGGGCCCAGAAGCTAAAAAATTTAAACTTTATGGCTTCCGAGAGGCTATATTGTTGCAAAGGATTCAGAGCCTCTACAAAAACTAGAAATTTCAAACCAACCCGAGGAAGACCACAAGCTGGGGTTCGGTTGTAGCGAAACATCTGGAAGTGGTCTTGCAACTCAGCTGTACACCTAGACCCAGCAGGAGCAAAACCTAGGAATAAAAATAGGTGCCCTTCTTGGTTGAAAGGGCTTGTAAGGGAGCCTTAAGCCCCCGACAAGAGGAAACAAAAGGCCTAAGCTGGGTCCTAGACGCTGCCGAAGCTAAGTTTTTGGTTTTGCGCCCAAGAGCCTTTTCATCTCCTACAATTTGCTTAAGAATCCCAAAAGATAAATAATCATCCCTATATTACCCTTATAAGGAAGACAATTTCATTTTTTATTGCATTTTTCGGGTGGGGCTTAAGCAATTCGCAGTCGCAGGTGCTGCTCCAGTGCGAAGCCCATGTTCCACAGCAGCACGGCACCTACCCATGGGCCGGACGAAGGGCTTGCGGGGACAGAATCTCAAGGTCTTCCTTTTGGCCTTTGGGAGAAGAACCTTTAACAGGGTGTACGATGCATATGCCTTACTAGAGTGTTTTATTACAGTAGTAGAAGAAAGGTAGATTATCCTTATTGTTGTGTAGGGTTCATTTCGTCCTAGATAAGGCCTAGCAATGGGGGAGCGTCGCCATGACGCTTGCCTCCCCTACAGTCCTTCTTAAATCGGTGCAAGTCGGGCGCAGGCAAATCTGGTTCAAGATGCTGACATTCACTACACAAGACAGCTCATCATTCTACTCCTCCAAACCATAAACCCTAAACCCTAAACGTTAAACCCTAAACCCTAATCATGGACATCATGCATGCGACATGGTGCTGTGGGCGCTGGAGAGCTGGCTTGCCGTCGCGGCGAAGTTTTTTCTGTGACGCCCTGAACCGGCCTTGGGCCCGTCATCATCAATTCTACTATAGGGGCCTTTGATGACTAGAACAGTTTTTCAGGGGCTACTATGGTATAATTATGTAGGGGGCAGAAGGGAATACTCTTATAGTAACTAATCCGACCCCCCTATTTCATGGGTTCGTTCAAAACTCGGATTCCTCTTAAAACTACCTGTGGGGGAAGCCGAGTTTAGAAGGGACCCAAGGCAACGCACACCTGCGGACCTAAACCCCTGAACCCTGAACCCTAAACCCTAAACCCTAAACCCTAAACCCTAAACCCTAAACCCATCGCTGCCTGCCACCGTTTCGAGGGTGCCCGTGACCTTGCGAATGCGCCGCGCGTGCCAAAAGGCCTCCATGGCCCCTGAGCACCAGCTGAGACAGGGCTTGGGGTTTAGGGTTTAGGGTTTAGGGTTTAGGGTTTGGGGTTTGGGGTTTGGGGTTTAGGGGTTTTGGGTTTGGGGTTTAGGGTTTAGGGTTCAGGGCTTATGGCTTGGGGCACAGGGATCACGACTACTAGAACACGCCATGCCCTTCTGCAAAGCCTATACTTATCCAACACCTATTACTTCCCACCCTTGGCGGTAGGGGGGGGGGTTAGAGTTTTTAACACAGGGCTGTTCTGTACTTACTGGCCGCTCCTACCCCCCAAAAGAGTCGAGAGAACCCTAAACCCTAAACCCTAAACCCTAAACCCTAAACCCTAAACCCTAAACCCTAAACCCTAAACCCTAAACCCTAAACCCTAAACCCTCTCCCTGGAGTGCCCTTCCCCCTTCGGAGTGTCACTCCGAGAATCCTGCAGAGATCTCGCCGCCGGAGTGCTTACCCAAACTATATTGCTTACTTTAGGGGTTTAGGGTTTAGGGTTTAGGGTTTGGGGTTTAGGGTTTAGGGTTTGGGGTTTGGGGTTTGGGGTTTAGGGTTCATTGTTTACCCCAACGCCGCATCGCACTGAGTATCCCTGGAGTGCCCCAATGGCCCATCAACATTCTTCCCTCAACTTTAACCCTGAGACCGACAAAGACATTCTGGGAGCAAGACGCCACACATGCACCCAGACGAAGCCCTGTACCAGGCCTGTACCAAACCTCGAATTCCTAAGCCCTCACCCCGGAAGGAGTCCTCGGTGACCTCGGTGGTCCCTAAACCCAAAGCCCCGAAGCCCCTAAACCCTTCAACCCTCAACTCTTAACCCCAAACCCTAAACCCTAAACCCCAAACCCCGAAACCCTAAACCCTAAGCCCTAAACCCTAAACACTAAACCCCGAAACCCTGACCTCTAAAACCTGGCCTTGGTGGTCCCCGACATCGCCCTTGGCCACACCCATGTGGGTGAGCAGTGTGGCGATGGAAGGTGTATCCTTCAGAACACATTCGGTTTAGGGTTTATAGGTTCTAGGGTTTACGGTTTAGGGCTTAGGGTTGCTTGGTAGATTCCAGATGTTGCTCTCTGGGTGGAGATTCAACTCAACATTCAGCCAAGAAAACAGGGGTTGGGGGGGCACTCCAGCTAGGGTCTCGGATTCCCCTCAATACTTCGACACTCATAACCCTAAACCCTAAACCCGAAACCCCAGGTTCTGCAGGTGTCAAGTGCGTCCCCCACAGACCAAAAAAAAACTCGGGTCTCCTGCTCGCCCGCATGCTCGAAGAGCGAGCCGGCCAGCTTGAAAACCTTCCACGCTTTCTAGACCCTTTATCAGCAATAATACAAGGTCCTCTGAGAGGGCTTAGGGTTCATTATACAGAATTATGTCCTTCTCATCAAGAATAAGAAGGTCCTCTGATAGGGGCTTGGGGTTCAGGATTTGGGGTAGGAGGTTTGAGTACGGGGAACCACAGGCCTCATAGCCCGCCCTCGAATCGACACATGCTCCTACGTCTGGCACCCTTTACCACCCTCTACCTTCTCCACAGGCTTAGGGTTACCACAAAGCATGAAAACAGTGGCCCTTTTATGGGTGTTGGGCTATTGTTAACATAATTCCTTTGGGGGTCCAGGTAGGGCTTATAGGTGTAGACAGGAACTTCAGATTCAAAATTAAAGTAAGTACAGCCCGAGGAAGCCAACACCAACCGCGTCGCAAACTTCGATGCCCCAACTATCAGCAACATGCTGTGGCACATGCTGCGGGAAGCATCTGAATCCTGTTAACCAAGCATCTCCCTCACCTGCGCAAAAGCTCTGTGACCCCGTTCCGAACCCAACGAACCTCAAACCATGCATCAAAACGACATCAAAACCCGAAAGGCGCCCAAAGAGATTCCAACCCCTAAGCCCTGAACCATAAACCCTAAACCCTAAACCCCCAAACAAGGGGCCTCGAGATTGGTCATGGCCTTGTTGACCTCTAGGCGGCTGGCCGCAGCGGCGCGCCCCGCGTTGCTGGGGAAGATGGACTGCAAAGTTAGCTGCAACCTGAGTTTTAGGGTTTTGAGGGGTTTCAGGAAGGTTTTATGGGCTTTTAGGTGGGCTTTAGGGGGGCTTTAGGGGGGTTTTAGGCTTTTGGGCTCAGGGTTTCGGGTTTCGGGTCTAGGGGGCCCGGGGTTGAGGGGCGAGCCGTTTAGGCGCGCGGGGAATGTCATGCCCAAGGCGTCACACCAGCTCGTGCCAGCCTAGACCCTAAACCCTATAAACCCTATAAACCCTAAACCCTAAACCCTAAGTAAACCCTAAAACCCTAAACCCTAAACCTTATAAACCCTAAACCCTAAACCCTAAACCCTGAACCCTACCCTAAAACCCTAAACCCTAAACCCTAAACCTGCGAGTCAGGACGTGATCTGAGGGTGCGGCCCATCCTGTAGGAGCTCCTTGCGATGCTTTTGGGTTACTAGACCCAGGAGTAGCCTAGGAATAAACAGGATACCCTTTTTGGGAAAAAGGGGAGTATAAGGGAACCCCAACCCCCCCCCCCCCCCAAAAAAAAAAAAAAAAAAAAAAACAAAAAAAGGCCTACTCCGGGTCCTGGGTTACGACAGGTTTTGGTGTCTGAGCTTTCAAGTCGGTCTCCATACGTCGTGGTCGGGGGTCGTCGGATGTGGCGTTTTAGGGTTTCAGGGTTTCAGGTTTCAGGGTTTAGCCTTAGAGGTTTAGGGTTTAGGGTTTAGGGGTTTAGGGGTTTAGGGGTTAGGGCTTCGGGTTTAGGGTTTCATTCAACCCTGCAACCCCGAAAGCCCCTGAACTGCTGCCAGGGTGCCCCTGCCAGCTCACGATGTCCGGTCTCCCAGAGCATCCTCGGCTTTCGGGGCGTGGGGTTTTCAGGGCTCATAGGGGTCTAGGGTTTCAGGGGTTTAGGGTCTAGGGTTTAGGGCCTTTAGGGTTTAGGGCCTATACGGTTTCAGGGGTTTAGGGTTTAGGGCTCGATGTTAACAACGAGCCTAGGTAGGCCTCTGAAAGCCTAAACCCCTAAACATTAAACCCCGAAGCATAAACCGCTACACCCTAAATCCTAAACCCCTTCCCCCGCCCCCCCCCCCCCCCTTGAGTGTAGGGTTTTGGGTGTAGGGGGTACGGTTTGGAGGTTTAAGCTTTCGAGGTTTGGGTTTAGGGCTAGCCAGGGTGACCTATTGTAACCTACTTGAAATGAAACGGATCCACTAATTGAGGTGTTTTCCTTTACGCCCATCAATTTCCCGAAGGAGGCCTGTGTGCACTCACTACAACCTGAATCCGAAAGACCCTAACCCCTAAACCCTCCTGGCCTCCGTGTAGGGTTGAGGGGTGAAAATCCTGAACCCTGGCCAAACATACCGTTTCGGAAAGTACTTCTGGCACTATGGGTCTATTAGCCGACGCGGGGTGGGGGAGGGGGGCTGGTCCTTCCGTGTGGCCCAATGTTTAGGGTTAAGGGGTTAAGCTCAGCTGCCCGTCATATTGCTAAATCTCTCTCTTTCTCTCTCTCGCTCCGTCTCTCTCTCTCTCTCGCTCTCTCTCTCTCTCTCTCCCTTTCTCTCTCTCTCTCTCTCTCTCTCTCTCTCTGTCCGTTAGACAGCACACTGCGCCCTATGTCCTACATGGGTGTTTGACCACGATTCTGGGCCTCTTCTGATAGTCTCTACTATACCCCTATCTTCTATAGAGGTGACAATCAGGGCCAAGGCCCATCCATGGCTCTGTCAACAGCCGCCCTAAACCCCGAAGCAACAGCCAAAATTAATGCCCGAAATCTCCTCAGCCACAAAACCCCAACCCTGCGAGCCCTAAACCCTATAATACCCCAAACCTCCTAAATCCTTAGCCCCAAACCTTAAACCGCTGCCAAACCAACAGCCTTAAACCCTAAAGCCACACATACGCTAAACCTCCCTAAACCCTAAACCTCCTAAGCCTACAAACCCTAACCCCTTTTGAACCTGCACCTCCTAACCCTCAACCCTAAACCCTAAACCCTAAACCCTCAACCCTAAACCCTAAACCCTAAACCCTAAACCCTAAAACCCTAAAACCCTAAACCCCTTTGCGTCCCATGGAGCCAGCCCACGGCATCGAAGAGCCGATCCGCGTCCTCTGCCTGACTTGGGCCCAGGGGATCCTTTGCTTATAGGGTTCTTAAGGTTTAGGGTTTAGGGTTTAGGGTCTAGGGTTTAGGGTTTAGGGTTTAGGGTTTAGGGTTTAGGGTTTAGGGTTTAGGGTTTAGGGTTTGGGGTTTGGGGTTTCGGGTTTAGGGTTTTTTCATGGGGGTTAGGCACCTAGGGAATCTTAGGGAAGCTTAGGGAGCCTTAGGGAGTACGGGGGAGTATTAGGGAACCTTGGGTTACATACCCCCCTTGAACCTCCCTTCAGAAGCCTATCCTTTTCTGGCCCTGGCCATCGAACTCTCAGCCCAAAACACTGAGCCCTACATCCTAAACCCTAAAACCCTAAACCCTAACCCTACATCCTAAAGCCTAAACCCGAAACCCTGAAGCCTACATCCTAAATCCTATAAACCCAACATCCTCATCCGAAACCCCCAAGCTGAAAAAATGCAAAGACACCTTGAGCTCCAAGAGCAACCTCGGAATAAAAATGGCGCCATTGTTGCTTTAAAGGGGCTTATCAGGGAACCCCAGCCCTAAACAAAAGGAACTAAGGGCCTACTCTGGGTCCTAGTTACCCTAAACCCTAAACCCTAAACCCTAGGCACCTTGAGCTCCGAGTTCGTGAGAAGGAGCCGCAGCTGCCTCTCCAGCGTCAGGGCCAGCCACTGCTGCAGCTGCCGGGTGAGGAAGCAGTCTGCCTGGTTTAGGGTTTAGGGTTTAGGGTTTAGGGTTTAGGGTTTAGGGTTTAGGGTTTAGGGTTTAGGGTTTGGGGTTTGGGGTTTGGGGTTTGGGGTTTAGGGTTTAGGGTTTAGGGTTTAGCGTTTAGGGTGGGTTCATGCTATCTGGGTCGTAAGTAAGATTTAGAGTTTAGGGTGCTTAGGGCACAGGGTCCAGGCTTTATGGGGGGGGGGGGGGGGGGGGGGGGGCGGTTCTGTAAGTTGTGGCAACAGGAGTCCCAGAAGTGATCGAGCGAACGGGTCAGCAAGCGAGCGTCCTGGATGTCGGACCTCTACAACTTTAGGGTTTGGGATTTAGAGATGCAGGAGCCTCTTTCGAGCTTCCCAAAAAGGCTTGAGCTTTGGGTACGGGAGGAGGGCTGGGGGTGTGGGGGTGTGGGGGAGATGGATGGTACTTCCCGACATACGGGCAACCCCGAGGACATACCCCCAAACACGATGGATCATTCTGAAGACTCCTTAGCTCAAATTCGGGTACTCATTTGTTGGTGCTTGGGTCCTAGAAACCTAAACCCCGCACCCGATGAAGGTCATTAGGATGCCCCACGATTAGTGAACCCCCAGAGGCGTTTAGGGATTAGGGTCTAGGGTAGGTTCCTTGCGGCTTGCAAGGTCGTAGCCTCATGGGCTTTCTTTAAGAATGAACCCCAGAGGTGTTTAGGGATTAGGGTCTAGGGTAGGTTTCCTTACGGCTTTCAAGGTCGTAGCCTCATGGGCTTTCTTCGAAAGCTACTTCTGGAGTCTTGTGCTCAATGATAGCCCTGGGAAAAGCCACATGTGGGAGCAAAACCCTGGGCCTCAGAAACACTTTCAAGGCCTTCCCACAGACCATCTCCCATTCATCTGAATGGCAAGAAGGATGACAAAAAAGGGGATTGGGTTCCCTGTAAACCCTAGACCCTAAACCCTGCTTCACCTCCAACTCTTCAAATTCTCGAATTCCTACCGTGCAATCCTCAAGCCCACGGCGTGATAGCCGGTAGGTCCAGGATCCTGAACCCGACACCCCGAACCCCAACCTTGAATCATGTAGCCGTCCACCAAACACCTCCTAAACACTAAACCCTAAACACTAAACCCTTAACCCTAAACCCTAAACTCTAAACCCTGCAAAGCAGCCGACCTTGAAGAGGTTGAGGCCGCACCCGAGGACTTCCAGCAACGGCGCCTGCTGCTCATGGACGGTGATGGCATCCTGGCAGAGACCCCTGTAGGGTTTAGGGTTTAGGGTTTAGGGTTTAGGGTTTAGGGTTTAGGGTTTAGGGTTTAGGGTTTAGGGTTTAGGGTTTAGGGTTCGGGGTCTAGGGTTTCGGGTTTAGGGTTTAGGGTATCTTCCAGAGATACCCGTAGAGCCCAACCAGGATGGTCTACTCGGCCTTGTTATCCCCATAATCAACCCTATAAAGGGCCTTTTTAAGGGGTTACAGGGTATGATAGCCCATGCTGGATGCCCCGTATGAAGGAATCGAGCTTAATTCTAAGCAAGGTCTCTCTGTGTACCTTCTAACCGCCAACATCGGAATGGCTCTGGAGGGTGCTCTGGTACTAAGGTCTATTTTTGAGAGCCCGATTTTTGTTCTTCTTGTGATTGCTTGCATTTTCTCAAGCCCTAAGCCCCTAATGACTCCCAGGGGTCCCCGAACTGGCTCATCTTCCATCAGCCGTGGCCGGGGCCCGGTCCGACCAACACCCCTTGACGAGCACCCCTTCATTGAGGATAAATGGCCTAAGGGTTTAGGGCTTAGATTTTCTTTTTGTTTGTTTTTAAAACTTTATTTTGTTGAGGGTTTTATTTGGGCCCAGGGACCCTGAACCCACAACCCTAAAACAGGGCAAAAGGGTGCCCCTTTTATACTTATACCCCAGATAGAATAGAGTCCCCTTCAAGGGACCGCTTAAAAGGGCACCCCCCCCCCCCCCCCCTATTTTCGGAAACCCCTCCGGTGTTAGGGCCCCTGCTGGGTCCTAGACTCAGGCGCCCTTGTGGGCAACCGAAGTGTAAGGACCATATAGCCTAATCTTCTATTTTGCTTAAGAACCCCCCAAAAACAACAACAATAATCCCTAGAATGCCCTCACAAGAAGACTCTTTTCAATTTGGGGGGATTCCTAAGCAAATAGTAGGAACAACAAGGACCCTAAACCCTCAACCCACTAAACCCTAAACCCTCAACCCTCAACCCTAAACCCAAAACCCTAACAACAAGGATCCCTAAACCCTCAACCCAAATCGTCCCAAATCGCCTCGAGCCAGCTGCCGTGCAATCCTCTCCATGCCCGGAGGACGGCATCCTCCCCGTAGGCCAGGTCCTTGAAGGGTGGTTTAGGGTTTAGGGTTTAAGGTTGAGGGTTTAGGGTTTTTACTGGGCCTGATGTTGCTTCTGACCACGACCAAACAAACCGCTGCCAGGGCCAAATCACCGCGCCCTACATGCTTTAGAGCCTTGCGCATGACACCCAGCGAGGCAGGGTTCGACCCAAAGGGTCCTAAGTAACAACATCGTAGAAAGTAGGGTTTCTATAAAAGGAATTACTATGGTTTGGGTAAGTGACCCTCATATAGGTACTTAGGATTCTTTGGGCAAGTGTTCATTCTTTTCCGGGCTTCTGGGGCTTACTGGGCTTAGGGTTACCTAGGGCTTGTGGGTTTAGCTGACGGTGAGTTCGGGCTTTCTGTTTTTGTTTGTTCAGAGTTTAGGGTTGGGGGAAATCTCTGACTGAGGGGCTTGCGACAGCTTGCGGCACGTCCGCCACAAGGGGTAGGGAGGCCCCTTGTGACGAAATGGGAGCCACGCGCCTCAAACCCTCAACCTGAAACTTGAAACCCCAAACCCTGAACCCCAAACCCCTAAACCCTAAACCCTAAACCCTAAACCTTAAACCCTAAACCCTAAAAGCACTCAGGAGCTCCTCGCGCAGAATTTGCGTGGCCCTGGGTGGGAGAAGCAGAGTCACCTCGCAGCCCTTGTAGGAGCCTCTCCAGTCGCAGCAACGTCATGGGTTCCCCTAGGGTTTAGGGTTTAGGGTTTAGGGTTTAGGGTTTAGGGTTTCCCTTACTACCCCCCTCTGTGCTACCCCCCCCAGGTTCCCCCCATAATTAAGGCCGGTTAGGGATGATTAAGCTGAATTAAGTTTATCGAAGGGGGTAACCTCGGTGGGTAGTATAGATTGGGGTAGTAAGGAAACGACCCCTAGTACAGACCCCCATCGCAAGATTCCCTGATAATCAGGACCACAACAAGGTACCCCTAGTTTCGGAAACACCCGTTTAACGGTCGTAGCATTTTTAGAGGTTTCAGGGCTTGAGGCTTTAAGGTTTAATTAGGCTAGTGGCAGTTGAGAGAGTTAAGGCGTACAGAGCTTTGGTAGTTAACTTTGAGCTTCTTTCTTCGGCGAGGCAGGGGGCAGTTCTCCAAATCATAGTCTCCCCTTGCAGGTTCCTTAGACAGAGGCGCCGTCATACAACGGGGACCGCAATTTTTCAGAGCTGACCCACTTGATACTAAATCTAAACCCTAAACCCTAAACCCTAAACCCTAGACCCTAAACCCTAAACCCTAAACCCCTCTTTCTTATATATATTTAAACCCTATAGTCCTTCGTGGCTAAGGGTCATTTCTTCGTGGCTAAGGGTCATTTCTTCGTGGCTAAGGGTCATTTCTTCGTGGCTAAGGGTCATTTCTTCGTGGCTAAGGGTCATTTCTTCGTGGCTAAGGGTAATTTCTTCGTGGCTAAGGGTAATTTCTTCGCTAAGGGTAATTTCTTCGTCGCTAAGGGCAATTTCTTGGTCGCTAAGGGCCATTTCTTCGTGGCTAAGGGTAATTTCTTCGTGGCTAAGGGTAATTTCCTTCGTGGCTAAGGGTAATTTCCTTCGTGGCTAAGGGTAATTTCTTCGTGGCTAAGGGTAATTTCTTCGTGGATAAGGGTAATTTCTTCGTGGCTAAGGGTAATTTCTTCGTGGCTAAGGTTAATTTCTTCGTGGCTAAGGGTAATTTCTTCGTGGCTAAGGGTAATTTCTTCGTGGCTAAGGGTAATTTCTTCGTGGCTAAGGGTAATTTCTTCGTGGCTAAGGGTAATTTCTTCGTGGCTAAGGGTAATTTCTTCGTGGCTAAGGGTAATTTCCTTCCTGCCATCCCCCCCCCCCCCCCCCCCCCCCCCCCCCCCCCCCCCCCCCCCCCCCCCCCCCCCCCCCCCCCCCCCCCCCCCCCCCCCCCACACCCCCCCCCCACCCCCCCCCCCCCCCCCCCCCCCCCCCCCCCCCCCCCCCCCCCCCCCCCCCCCCCCCCCCACCCCCGCGGTAATTTCTTCGTGGCGAAGGGTAATTTCTTCATGGCTAAGGGTAATTTCCTTCGTGCCGGCCCACCCCCCCCTCCCCCGTGTGCAGCTTAAATAGGGTTTATTTGGAAGCTGGCACTCGTGTTCACAAGAGGAAAAAAGGCCCCAAAACGTATACTTATTTACAAGAGCCAACTTCCAAATAGACCCTATTTTAGGTCCTAGGGGGGTCCCAGGCCTGAATTAAATATGAAGGCCCCGATTTAAATATGAATATTTAATTCTGGAGCTTCATATTTAAATTATTTAATTCGGGCCCGGGAATTAAATAATTTAAATAATTTAAATAATTTAAATAATTTAAATCCTGGAGGGGGGGGGGGGGCGGGCCTCCTCCCGCAGGAGGAATTAAATAATTTAAATATGAAGGCCCCGAATTAAATATTAATATTTAATTCGGAGCCTTCATATTTAAATTGTTTAATTCTTCCTGCGGGAGGCCCCCTCCAGGATTTAAATTATTTAAATTATTTAAATTATTAAAATTATTTAATTCCCGGGCCCGATTTAAATAATTTAAATATGAAGGCCACGATTTAAATATGAATATTTAATTCGGGAGCTTCATATTTAAATTATTTAATTCGGGCCCGGGAATTAAATAATTTAAATAAGTTAAATAATTTAAATCCTGGAGGGGGGGGGGCGGGCCTCCTCCCGCAGGAAGAATTAAA